TGATAAAACCATGACCCCCGGTTCCTGGGGGGGGCGGGGGGGGGGGGGAGGGGTTATGTTCTGTCTGCGCGAAGCTTGGGCGGGGGTGGCACGTTGAGGGGAGGGGACACTGCTGTTGAGGACGAGGCGGCATACGTCAGGATAGGTTGTCAACAGAGTAGCTGCGGTGTGTGTGTGTGTGTGCATTCTTTTGTTAGCGTTGACCGCGCGCACTGGCTGACCAATGAGAGTCGTCTGCCTTGCGGCGGGATTAACTAACGTGATGGCGTTGTGCGTGTATGCGTTCGTGCCCCTCACTATTGGAGCCCTACATCTCCCCAACTCCGCAGCAAATGCAAAACGGGCCCTCTTTTTTGCTCTGACCATATGCATATGCACGTTGGTGTTTCTTGTCGCCACACCACCGACCACGGCCTCACCCCCCATTTTCGGTCAGGTAACGTACGGCACGCACATGGCGATAGCGATGAGCATTGGGATGCTCTTCCTCGGAGGGGGCATGGCTTCCCTAGGCAGGGACAACGAGCACATCGCAGCCCTCCTGGGGGCGTTTTTCCCCAGGCACGACGGACCTTCTTTTTTTTTTTTAAATACTTTTTTGGCGTTTCTTTTTCTATTAATAATATTCGGCAAGATTCAAGAAGAGCTAAGCTTGGGGAGCGTTCTTGACTATTGGTGAGAAATGTTGTCGAGGCGCGCGTCGTTCTGAAGTCCCAAGCTACTTGACGAACGTCGACCATTGTAGGAAGGTACAACGCACTCGTCGATCGACCCCCGGATGAAGAACTAGCAAGGGCTAGAGTGACGGGCGTGTTTGTTAGACGTGCTGTACAGGTTGGTCAGGTTCATGACGCACCAAACCAATTTGGACTTGCAGAGTGCGAACACACACGGTGCCTCTTCCTTTCGCCCGGGGCGTGACGTAAGACGTGTCGCTGCTGTGGCAACAAGCCCCCCCGTCAGAGGCACAATTTCCCCGTTGACAACTTAAGAAAGCTCATCCTGTGTGACTTTTCTCTCCTGTGTGGCCCCGGCCAATACGCCAGACAATTTCAATTACACCGAGAAAGGTGTGTAGGCGCCAGAATTGATTTGACAAGACGAGCAAGCATACAGCTTGCTTGCCATTGTAACGGTGCTGCCTGGCTTCCTACGTCTGACGCGTTCTCCTCCTCCCCCCCCCTCCTCCGCCTCCCGCTCACCGTTGGGAAAAAAAAAAAAGGTACCCCGCAACGGCAGACGACAACCAGTACCACCTGCAGGCCCTGCGACACCTGTACGTGTTGGCGGTGCAGCGGAGAGGGGTCGATGCGGTAGACGTAGACACGGGCGAGAGCTTGTTCGTGCCCATCAAGGTTTCCCTTGCCGACCGCACCGGTGCCGCGAACGGGGGCCGCGACAACGGGGACGGTACCCAGGAGGGCGCCGAGGCCGGGTGCGACGACAAGATGGACACCAGCGACGGCGCAGAGGAGAAAACAAGGACGGGCGGGGATGGAGATGGCGAGGGTACTCCAAGCGGCGGTAGCGGTAGCGGTAGCGGCGGCCGGGCGGCGGCGGTGGCAGCGGAGGGAGGGGCGGGAGATCGGGGCGCGGGAGGGACGACGCTTTCCCTGGTGACGCCGTGCGTGCTGCCAGACCTGAAGGACGTGTCGAGGCTGTCGATCTGCAGCCCGCGGTACTTCCCGGTGGAGCTGGGCATCCATGGAAACCCGGCGGTGGCGTCGGCGCTTCGGCGACGCTGCCGGATCTACGTCAAGCGGCGGGTGGGACACTTGTCCTACAAGAACGTGAGGAGAGATGATTTTTTTTTCGGTTCTACGTGGGGCGGGGGGGCTTCGTGTCGTGCGTGTTTGGTGCAAAGGGGGGCTCCAGCCGCTTCCTGTTTCTGTTGTGGGACCGATCGAACCCACGGCGGGTGCTTTTTTTTTGGGGTGTGCGTTGTGGTTGTCGTGTTTTTTATCGAGGAGGGCACTTTCACTTGCTTCTTGCCGACAGCGCGGCAGCGCTAGGCGTAGTATGTAACCCAGAAGAGATCGAGGTTTGGGCGGGGTTGGGATGACGTTGGGATGACGCCTTCATCTCTAGGCGAAAGGCAGCCAATTATTCCAGAGGTGTTTGGAAAATCGTGCGGTCCCTTGAAGGATGGGTGAGCCATTCCTTTTTAGAACAGCACGGCCACAAATACCGGTAGCCAAGCCTTCGATGGTAGCAGCAGCAGCCGCTCGTTGCTGCGGGTAGGTCTCGCACTGGGCCTGTACTGGCGTGGGCCCGTGCCGTCCACCCTTAAATCTTGTAAGCCGTATACTACCAGTAACAGTCAGCCCCCCCCCCCCCCTGTCACCCCCATATGTAAATTCCAAAACCCGTCCTTTCCTCTTGGTCCCTTCGCCCTTTCCTCAGGACCCGCACGCTCTCCGATCCCTGCTCTTCCAGAACTACCCCGGGGCCATGGGCGCGGCAGGCCAATCGCCCTTGTCCCCGCCGCACCACCACCACCATCACGCACAACGGGGCCCCCACCACCACGGCCACGGCGCGGCGGCGGCGGCCGGCGAAAACCCCGTCCAGAGCAAGGCCGACTTCCTCTCCACTTTCACGGAGGACCCCCACCTCCTCAACTTCGCCCGGCACTTTTGTGACTCTTGGCGCCGGCGGCGGCGGCGGCGGGGGGGGGGGTTCCGGCTAATATCCTCTGGGAGGAGGCTCATGCTCGGGGTGGAGTCCCTGGGCGACGCGTCCGCGCTTGCCCGGTACTTCGGCGGCGCCCTGCTGGAGTGCCTGGCCGGGGAGAAGGCAGAGGCGCTGGGCCCGCACCTGTCCCTGTGCCACTTCACCGTCACCGCGGCGCACACGGTGGACGCGTCGGCGGCGTGGGACCTGCGACTGGTGCTGGACTACGGACGGGGCAGCGCTCTCCAGTCGGCTTTGATGGCGGCGGCGGCGGCGGGCGTGGAACGGGTGGGTGCTGCTGCCGGGGAGGTAGGGAGAGTTTCACGGCGGCGGCGGCGGCGGCGAGGGGGTGGTGATGACGTTGACGGGGGGAGGGTTTCCCAGGCGGAGGCGGAAGTCGAGGAGCCGCCGCTGCCGTTCACGTTGGTCAACCCGGACCTGCTGGCGTCCCTCGAGGTGCGCCTCGACGTCTTCTTCTCGTCGATGGGTTTCTACGGCGCCGCCGGCGCCGGCGCCGGCGACGGCACGGAGGCAGCGGGCGCGGCGGCGGTTGGAGGGGAAGGGAGTCCGAAGCACCTGTCCCGATTGTGGCGATACCTCTACGGCCGCGAGAGGGGAAGGGACGGGGGGCAGGGAGGGGGAGCTTGCGGCGGTGACAGCAGGGAAGCAGGAGCGGCGTGCCGGGAAGACCGGCTGTTCGGGGCGTACCTGGCGTTCTTCGGCATCCCCGCCCCGGCGGAGCTCTTGCGAGCCCTCGGCGGGAGAGAGATCCCGCCGGAGGGGCTTGGCCTGGCGGACGCGCCCGCCCTGTTGCGCGGGCTCCCGGGGCTGACGCCGTCGGCACTTCTGAAGATAACGTAGATGTGTAGCGCCGGTCGGTGGACGGCCTGTTATCTTTTTTTGTGGCGTGGGGATTGAGTGGTGTGCTTAGCGCTGCTTGCGCTTTTGTCCTTGAAGCGACAGCGGCTGTCCCGGTGTTGCTATTGATACTGCTGCCGCACCGATGGCAGCGGTGCGTCTCCGTTTGTGCTTTGAGCGTTGTATATGCCCTGTTCAGTGGTTAGCGCTGTAGTTCGTCAGGTAACGGGTAGACGTTTCGCCCCTAAATCGCTGGTGGTTTCATCCAATTTTAGGCCTGTGCCACCTCTTCACTGCTGTTCAGAGAAACAAACCTGCCCAAGGTCGTACATCGAAACATCGACAGTTTTTGTTCAACCTTGTGTCGCCCCTCTTGGGCCGCCCACGTTTTGGTAGCGAGCGTTAGGGCAAAGGGCCAAAGGCAAAAAACATGGCGCGCTGGAGAAACAACAATAGCACTTGCGCGCCCTTGCCCCGGTACAGTTGGCCACGCGGTAAAGCAATGCTTCCAATGGTTGAGCGCTTACTCCTGCACACTCTGCGTTTTTGTCCTTTTTGTGTGGATACTCCCAAGCTAGCACCCGGAGGCAAGCAACCAGTATCTACAACGCTGATTCTCCCGATCCGAAAGAAGCTCTGCTTGGGTGTCCATCTTCTAACTTCCCACCCCCTCGCGAGTACAACCAACAAACTCCTTGTGGCATTCAACGACCGTTACAAACATGCATCAAAATTTTAAATCCGAGAATAGACGCCATCCCAGGTGTATGTAGGGCAAAATATTGTAAGCATTCCTACCTTTTATACTGTGCGCGCGAACCGCAACTCTTGTCTATTCGGCTTCACACGAGTAAATGTAGCTGAGACCCCCCCCCGCTGGCTCATTCACAAATCGCTGTCCTGTGACAAAAACAGCAACATAGCCTGCTGGCCTGGCCTGGGGTTGTTCAAGGCGGCCCGCCAAGCGCTCGGTATTAATCCCGGTGCCTTTCTTCTCTACCGACACGCCCCACACACACAACGGTAGACTGCGTCGGCCACAAGAGAACCATATCCTCGCCCTCCTGGGTACAACCTTGCAGCAAAAACTACGTCTCCACGCTGCTAGTGCATTCGCCCCACTTCTGAAATTAATCGGACAAACGGGGGTACAAGACTACTCCTCCGCCCCTGTAGGGCTCTGTCTGTTTGTTGGAGACTTTCGCCGACATTGATTGCCGGTGGTACCTCGATAAACGCAGACACCACGAACGAGCCCAAGCCGCTTAGCCCTCACGCCATATCGCGTCGTCGCATGGGCCGTAACCGTCAGGACGCCGCCCCGACGTGCGCGGACCAAGGCAAGAGAGATAGGAGCGCCAACGGTCACCTCCAAGACAGACAGACAGACAGACACACCGGTGCTTTTAGTGCCCTCTTTTCTCTCCACTGTCGAGGTATTGCGCAGCCGAGAGGCCAAGGGTTGTATGGCCTCTTTCCCCCCGTCTTGGCCCATCTTCCTCCGTTCTGTACTCTACAGGGCAAACCACAATACATTTCTTGGGTCGCTACAAGGTCCTCCACGGCAACGACGGTCCTCCTTTCCTTCTACGGCTGGGCCGATCGTCGTTCCTGGGTCACCATACAATCGACATCCGACATCCGACATCCGACATCCGACATAGATACATACGCCTCTCGAGGACGAAGAGCAGCAATTCCATCTGCGCCCGGGGGGGGGGGGGGGGGGG